TCGCTCGCTCGCCCATCCATCCATCCATCCATCCATCCATCCATCCATCCATCCATCCATTCATTCAATATAGCCGGCCATCTCAGACCAGAGACTCTGGGCAGCTAACAATAAAAACAGTCAACATTTAAAACAGTAGAAAAAAATTAAATATAAATGCAGCCAAGAGATCTTAACAAAACCATCAGTATCAGCACAACCATGAAACAGGGCCCTTCACACACTCGGGGCCCCAGGCCCGGGCATAAAGCCAGGTCTTCAAGGCCTTCCGAAAAGCCAGAAGGGTTGGGGCCATCCTAATCTCAAGACGGAGGATGTTCCAGAGGTAGGCGTCATAGCAGAAAAGGCACGTCTCCTGGTCCCCGCCAGCCGAAATTCCTTGGCTGACAGGACCCGGAGCATGCCCAACCTGCCAGACCGGATTGGATGGGTGGAAACAACTGGGAAAAGACAGTCCCTAAGGTAACCTGGTCCCAAGCCATGAAGGGCTTTATAGGTGACAACCAGCACCTTGAATTGTGCCCAGAAACACATCAGTAACCAGTGCAGCTCCCGAAGTAGTGGTGTTACATGTGCTGAGTAGCCAACATGATTTACAACCCGGGCAGCTGCATTCTGTACCAGCTGAAGCTTCTGAATGCTCTTCAAGGGCAGCCCCATGTAGAGTGTATTGCAATAGTCCAAACAGGAGATCATGAGGGCATGGGTGACAGTGATTAGAGCCTGCTGGTCCAGGAATGGGCGCAACTGATGTACAACCTGAAGGTGTGCAAAGGCCCTCTTAGCCATGGCTGCCACCTGCTCTTCCAGCAGGAGCCGTGAGTCCAAGAGGACCCCCAGATTGTGCACCAGGCCTGTCTGGGACAGAGCCACCCCATCCAGAACCAAAGACGGAAGAACCTTGGTACTGGGAGGCCCAGACACCCAAACCACTCAGTCTTGCTTGGGTTGAGTTGAAGCCCATTGCGCCCCATCCAGGCTCCTACAGCCTCCAGGCACTGAGATAGGGCATTCATGGCACCACTCAGACAGCCCGGGAAGGAGATATAAAGCTAAAGCCTACTGATGATACCTCACCCAAACTGTCGGATCCCCTCACCTAGCAGTCTCATGTAGATGTTAACATGAGGGGTGAGAGAACTGAGCCCTGTGGCACCCCACACAGTAGGGGCCGTGGACTGACCTCTCCCCTCCTACCAACACAACTGGAACCAACCCCGGAGGAAGGAGGAGAACCAGCACACACAGTGCTGCCCACCCCCAACTCCTGAAGCCAGTCCAGAAGGATACCATGATTGATGGTACTGAAGGCCACCGAGAGGTCAAGAAGAGCAAGGATGGAAGCACTGCCCCTATCCCGCTCCTGCCAGAGGTCATCCAAGAGCATGGTCAATGCCATTCTCAGTCCCATATCCTGGCCTGAATCCTGACTGAAAAGGGTCCAGATAATCCGCTTCATCCAGAGCCCTTTGAAGCTGCCGTGTGACCACTTTTTCAACAACCTTCCTTAAAAAGGGAGGTTGGAGACTGGATGAAAACTATCCAGATTAGTTGGGTTGAACAATGGCCCCTTGAGGAGGGGGTGTACCACTGCCTCCTTAATAGCTGGCAGGACCACCCCATCCCTCAAAGAGGAATTCACCACCACCCAGACCCAATTATGTGTCCTCTCCCGGACAGCCTCGACCAGCCAGGAGGGGCACGGACCTAACACAGAAGTGGCTGAACTAACAGCTACAAGAACCTTGTCCGCTTCCTCAGGTTCAATGGGCTCGAACTCCTCTCAGATAACCATGCAAGACTTAGCCCCCGTAGCCCCTACTGGCCTTGTATCAAGGCTGGAATTCAACGCAGAGCGGATGTGAGTGACTTTACCTGCCAGATGTTCAGCATATTCCTCACAATGGCCCTGAAGGTAGACCCCCAAACAGGGCCAGTGGGCAGCTATCTGCAGATGCAATAAGGGCAGAGAAATAATTATGTTTCGCCACCCTTACCACCACAAGATAGGGTCTGATAGCGGCTCTAGCTCATGTTCAGTCATCTTCACTCCCCTTCTTCCGCCAGCAGCACTCTAGGCATCTCTGAGCCCTCTTAAGCTTCCTCAGCTCTTCTGTATACCGCGGAGAGCTACAGGAGCCATGGGCACAGAGAGGCAGCTGAGGCGCGATCTGATCCAAAGCCATGGCCATTCTCTTGTTCTGTGCGGCCACCAAGGCTTTGGTCAGTCTGTGCAGCAGACTTCCCGGAACAACCCCAAGCTCCCTCTGAAACCCAGTTGAGTCCATCAGTCACCTGGAGTGGGTGACTAATAGGCCCCATCTCCCTGCAGAGGAGGGTGGTGCCAGAGAACTGGAGGCTCACCAGGAAGTGATCTGACCATGACGGGAGAAACTGTGATGGACTGGAATGAAGGAAGGGGGGTGAAAACGGTGCTCTCGTCTCCAGAGCAACGCTCTGGAGATAAGC